AATTCTATCATGGTGGGATGAAGAAATTAAAGCGCTATTTAGAATAACCTCAGTGCCAGCCTCAAATGAGTGATGGTAACGTCGGGGAGGCTGTCTGCAGTCATGTGGAGTGATGTTAAGAGGTGACCCAAACTCTTAACAGTAGAGGCTAAACCTAACACGAGCCATAACCATAACCTCCCCCTACACTTAACACAAAACCTTACCCTAATCCTAACCATAAGTCCAGCACCTAACACTCACCCTCACCCTGACTCACACGGAACTGTAGCCCTTAACCTGACTCCCATGCTAACGCTCAGCCTAGACCCAAATCCGAACTCTAACCCACACCATAACCCATCCTAAACCTAACCCAACCTCTAAACCAACCCATAATCCTACCCACAAACCCTCTCCCTCCGCCTCCCCCTCATCACCTACACATCACCATAACCCTAAACCTCAATCTCACCTTTACCATAACATAAAAACAGAATCTTAACTCAAACTATAACCCGAACCTCCCCATGCACCTAAACATAAACCAAACCCTAATCCTAAACTTGGAAACTCACCCTAAGACCTCACCCACATCTCTACCTTCACCCACACCTAACCATAACCCAAAACCTATACATAACCCTAACCCTCACACTGAAACCAAACCCTAACTCTAAATGTAATCCTATCTTCACCCTGAACACTGAACCATAAACTAAACTGTAATCCTAAACCTGGCCACTCAACATAACCCCTCAACCTCACCATCACCCTCACCCACACCTAACCAGAACCAGAAACCTAAACCTAACAACAACCCTCACTATGAACCCAAAGCCTAACTCTATTACTAACCCCATCCTCGCCTAACACTTAATCCTAAACCTACCCCTAATCCTAACCCTGACCACTTACACTAACCCCTCACCCTCACCTTCATACACACCAGTTATGTTCATACATCATATTTTCTAGGCATTCCTTTCTAAGAATTCTCTAAACATGTATTTTTCAGGGACCTACAATGTCCTTGGCACTTTTTATACCGATAATGGCATAGTAAACACATACAAAACCTCTTCCTTCAGTGCTTACACTCTAATGGATAATATGAACAATAGTAAGAGAAGTAAAAAGAACACCATGTTAAAGATGAGCTGTAAGAGAAAAATACACAAGAGGGGTTACAAATATTGATGGAGAAAGGTTAATTTTTAGATGGAATAGACAGGGACAGTCCTGCAAAGAGATGACTGTAGTCTAAACATCTGGAGGTGATGAGGGCTCCGGCCATTCTTCCCTGTGAGAGACCGAGCCTAACTGAGAGATGACAGAGCCTGAGGCAGAGTGGGCCCTGCGGGCTCCAGAAACAGCCAGAAGGCCAGAAGGCGAGTGCGAGCACATGATATCGCAAGACAGGTTGAGGAGGCAGGTCGTGCAGAACCCCAGAGACCAGGCCAGGGGCTTTGGCTTTCATACTGAGCATTATAGGAAGGCATGACGTGGTAAATACACTGAGAATTTTGGCCTTATTTAAATTTTCTTATTTTTACTGAAAATTTAAATAACTTTTAAACATGTGCTTCTTCTGTTTTGGAAAATTGTTAAAGAAAACATTTAGTATAAAAAAGAATACCAAATTATATTCCTTGGTTTGACAACCTAATAGTTTATATATGCTTTTTTTTCTCTTTTTCTCTAATACTGATATAACCATTGTTCTAAGTGCTTTTCTGACATTTTATGAGACAGTTAAATAAAGATAGCTTAATATTTTTTAGGATTATAATGTCAACATTTCTTTAAAATTCCATTCTATGTCATATAATTCATTTATAATTCAGTTGTGTAATCACTAATCTGAGGCTTAATTTATAAATCATAAATAAACATGGCATTAACAAATGCATGTGCTGTGTCTGTGGAAAAGCAATTACCCATAAATGCTGTAAATAATATGTTTAGCTTTTCTCCTACAAAAGGCTCCTTGATTAAGAAACAATACACTCAAGGAAAACTACAGTCATGTCACAAAAGTCATATGAGTATACTGGGTCTGCGCTATTTCTGCCACACAATTTTTCAACACCTGTTGATCAGTCAATCAGAGGAAACCTCGGGGGCTGAAGATATGCCAGCTCTGTGGAAATTCCTTCCCAAAATAGCTACGGCTGAGCAAACTGCTGGGCCAACAGAAGGAGATGATGGACAGAACTCAGGATTTTGTGTGGCAGGGCAACTGTCTTTGGTGATTGGCATTTTTTCAATGTTTAAATCCTTCCTTGGTCCAACAGCTGATTTCCCCCTTTACCGTGCTCTTCCTTCCTTTCTGGTTTCCCAGGGAGTGGCAGCCACATCCTTCACATCAGACTTTTTTTGGTAAGCAGTTTCTGGAATTGTTGTACAGCTGTCTCTAGATGTCTGAGGGCACCACTCTACTTGCAGGCTTGATATTCCCTTGCCAAGTCTCTCCATGAGGCATGTAAAATGAAAACTTTAAAAAAAACAAAAGGCTGTCAGTTTTGATTTAGGTCAAATAAGTCTCAAAGCCATTTTTAAATACCCAATTATTTTGGTAGATTTGTCTTTTCCTTGTATGGAGGAAAGAAAAACCCAAATGGCTTCATACAGTTAAGTTTCACATTTTTTGAAAACAGCAAACCAACTCAATTTAAACCATTAAAATGTTCAGCCATGCAAAGATTCTTAAGTTTTGTAAAGATATATTCAAACTGTAAAAACTGTTGGTTTCCTTCCTATTTCCCTTAGCATCATATAATGAGCTTTTTTCTAAACTAATATAAATACTTCAGAAAATTTACTTTTTATGGCCACTTCAAAATTCCATGAGTTTTCTAAGCTGTTCCATAAATTGTATTTAAGTTACTTCAATTTTTTGCTATTATATACAATGTGAAATTGAACATGTTTTTACATAAAGCTTTCCCCTAGTTATGATTATGTCCACAGAGCTAATCTAGGCTATAGTGGGTCAAAGGCCATGACATTTTTAAGTTAGCCACATGAAAATGAATGTTCATGTATGCAGAAAATGGTCTACTTGCAAATGCATCTGATCGTTTGCCAATCAGCAGGTGAAAGCTGACCCACAGTACAGCTGACCTTGTTTAAGATACTTAAAATCATCAATGAAGTTTATTTTTAATTTTCCAAATTGAAACATAGTGAATTCAAAATCTCGTTAATTGATTATTCTCTATTATATACCCAAAGGACTTCAAAAAATTTTACTCTCTAGTAGCTCCATCAGTCAAGAAATGATTTTAAAAGATTGAAATGACTTCAAGTTCATTGTGTTTAATTTTGTCTTTTTTTTATGGCAAGCGCAATGCAAGCACAAATTTCAAATACAAAACGGAGAAAAAAAGAATCAAAAATTACCTTTACTATTACTTCTAGATATAAATAACTAGTATACAATGTGTTTGTTTCACTTAGTATATTTAGAATATCTCTTGCATATCACTCCTTGTTATACTACAGTGGAAAGTACATTTTCAAAATTATTATTAAGAAAGAGTAGGAGTAAAAACAGTAATAGTGGAGATAATACCTGATGCCATTTTTTACCTCCGATGGCATTTTCAAAAGTAACAATAAAACATGCACATTGGAGTAAAGTCCCCCACCCAGCCACATTCACACCCAGTCAGATTGCATTTGAGCTCCCAGATTAACCACTGTTACCTTCCAGGAAAAGCTTGAAATTTCTATTCATATGCCAGGAAAGAGAATTATAGACATAGATAAAGATCTAAAGACAGAATTATACATACATATAATATGAGGATGCTAGACTCAGTTATATTATTTTTACCCCAATCCTATCCTGAAGATAGTCTCCTAACTGCACATTTACTCATTCTACATCCTTTTCTTCCAGTTTGTGTGAGTCTAAAGAACATTTATTTTGTTGAATGAAGTTAAATGGGAATCCAGTTCTTTAAACTGTAGTGAAAGGTAGGTCAGTGGAATCGAACAAGGCCAAGAAATAGACCAAAAATCATGTAGTTATTTAATATATGCTACCATTTCAATACAATGTTCTTCCTATACACGAATAAGATATGGCACCCCTCTTAATCCATTATCCATCCCTTATTTATCTATTTTTTTGGTTGAAATATTTTTATTTTTATTTTATTTTATTTTTTATTTTGGTATCATCAATATAAAATCACATGAGCAACATTGTGGTTACTAGATTCCCCCTATTATTAAGTCCCCACCACATACACCATTACAGTAACTGTCCAGCAGCATAGTAAGATGCTTCTCTGTGCTATACTGCCTTCCTGTACCCCCCCAACCCTGCAGAGGTTATGTGTGCTAATCATAATGCCCCTTCATCCCCTTATCCCTCACTTCCTCCCCACCCTCCCCAGTCCCTTTCCCTTGGGTAACTGTTAGTGCATTCTTGGGTTCTGTGCGTCTACTGTTTTGTTCCTTCAGTTTTTTCTTTGTTCTTATACTCCACAGATGAGTGAAATCACTTGATACTTGTCTTTCTCTGCCTGGCTTGTTTCACTGAGCATAATACCCTCTAGCTCCATCCATGTGGTTGCAAATGGTAGGATCTGTTTCTTTCTTAGTGCCAAATAATATTCCATTGTGTATATGTACCACCTCTCTTCTTTATCCATTCATCTACTGATGGACACTTAGGTTGCTTCCGTATCTTGGCTACTGTAAATAGTGCTGCGATAAACATAGGGGTGCATCTGTCTTATCCATCTCTTATTTTTATCTATAAGGCATTGGTTAGTTTTCCACCAATCCTGAAGGGCTCCTTCTGCTCCAGCACCTTTCCTTTTTGCACTGTCTTCCGGGACATTTTCCCATGCTAATTCCTCTAGGTAAACCATATATCAGTTTCTCTAGTTCCACAAAAAGTGCTATTTCAATTAAGATTGTATGACATTTATAGATTATTTTTATGAAGGATTGTTTATGTTAAAAATAGTTCTTTTTGGAGGCCTGGCCTGGGTTAATCCAGAATGACTACTCTGATCTTTATTGACAAGAAAAATGGGGAATCAGGCACCTGTGTGGCTCCTAAGGACAGGAAGCTGGGGTCTGGGTTGTCAGTCAAAGCATTAGATGGGAGATCTCAGGTTTCAACACAGTGTGTTGACAAAATGTTTGATGCTCCACCAGTCTTACCAAAAACTGCCAGAAAGCTTTTGGGAACTGTCGGTCAACAGAGCTACAGAAAAGTTGGTAAAGACTAATGGACCCCTCAAACAGAAGCAGACAACCTTCTCTGCCAAAAAGGTGACTGAGATGACTGTTAAAGCAAAAACTTCTGTTCCTGCCTCAGAAGCCACCTATCCAGAAACAGAAAAACTCTTTCCCTTCAATCCTTTAGATTTTGAGAGTTTTGACCTGCCTGAAGAGCACCAGATTGCACATCTACCCTTGAATGGAGTGCCTCTTATGATCCTTGATGAGGAGCTGGAACTTGACAAGCTGCTGCGCCTGGGCCCCACTTCACCTCTGAAGATGCCCTCTCTACCATGGGAGTCTAACCCGTTGCCATCTCCAAGCATTCTGTCAACTCTGGATGTTGAATTGCCACCTGTTTGCCATGACTTAGATATTTAAATTTCTTAGCCCTCTATAGTTTGTATGTTTTGTATTAATAAAGCAATTATTTAACAGTCTCTTACTAAAAAGAAAATCAGGTCTTCTTGTAGCATTCCATTTATCCATTATTCCATTCCTTTCTCTTCTTCAGTACAGGTCAATACCTGCACATTAGTTGTTAGTATTCCTTGGTGTTTCATCTTTTTTACCTTGTGCTGCATCACATGTGTGTGTGAAATAAATATGTATATATACATGCACACACATGCACATATACTTAAGATACCTTAATATAGCATGTTAAGGTAAAGCCATCCCACACAAAAAAATTTTAATTGAGAGTGGATGTTAAATTTTGTCCAAAGACTAATTAATAATCTATGGAGACAACTATATAGCCTTCTCCTTTAACTTATTAGTATGGCAAGTTAAATATTAGATCTTTGGATGATAATTAAGCCAGCCTTCATAACTTGGATAAAACTCATTTGTCCATGGTGTATTCTTTTAATATAATGTTGACTTCTATTCACTAACAGTTCTTTCAGATTTTATATTACTATTCAAATCACCATTCTGTACTTTTCTCTTTTTGTTCAATTTGACATCCATGTTATTCTGTCTTTGTAAAGCAATGTTAAGCTTATGAAACCTGCTTTTGAAATTAATGCTACTGTCTTTTAAGCCTGGAATAAAAACACTTTCTTTACACTTGAACCTTATAAACCAAATTGAAAATGAGATTGCAGTTCTGATTAAGGATCATAATACCTGTGCCCAAATATTCATACATAAACATGGATTATAGAATCTGTTCTCAGACCATTTCAACTCTTTTATTACCACGATAAAATTTTTTCTCTCTTCATTTTCATGCACATACATAAACTGGCAAATATCCCAAGTGGCAGAAGCATGTGGTCAAAGGCCCACCCACAGGCATAGGGGCACATACAAAGCACATTTACCCACAGTCCCTAAAATATAACTCATGAGGGACAAATCTAAAGTTTATTGTATGTACAGATGGAAATGACCAGTTTAATCAAACAATTGTTTGGGGCATACCTGATTTCTGACATGTATCCAATGAGACCATAATAGGAGGAAGAATTAGGAAGACTGGTTTGAAGGGCCCTTGTTCCCAGGGTAGATGGGCCAACAAGTGGCTCGTTAGGACAATTCTACAGCATTTTATGGCTCCACTTTTAGTTTGTTTCTTGATCATATTTCTCAGTTCCTATTTTATTTGCTGTCCATGGTCCCGGTTTGCTGGTAGAGCGTGCCAAGAATAAAGGATAAAATAAAATGTTCAGGATAAGGAGTAAGTAGGTCCACTCCTTGAGAGTCAAAGGATGTTCAGAGCTTCTGGGGACACCTAGGGAGGAAAAAAATGGAGAAGGATGAACAAGTCTGCACACTCGTTTTTACCCCTCTTCCATCAAGGAGGCCTTGGTCACTTTTACTCTGACTATTGCCTGAACAAACAGAGTCTGCACCTTCTAAAAGAAGTCTGTAAACCAGTGCACCAAAATGTCCCATGTCCTTGGTTAGCCTCAAACTGTAAGGCAGACTGATAGGTAATATGAAAGTAGAGTGATATTCAGTCTGGAAGTCTTTGGGAAGAAGAACAATCAGTGTAGTCACTGAGTGAGAGGGCTGGAGGATGAAAGTCTGCTGTGAAATGACAGGGCGCCTGAATCTGCAGTGACAATGGGGTATGTCCAAGTGTGGCCAATGGAACGGAGGTGTGGTGGAGAACCTCCAGGATGATCACCGGCAATCTCACCGATGGTGCTCATGCCCCCATAGTGTCCCTCCTACACCGAAGAGTGCTGACTTGTGCAACAGGGGAGATTGCAGAAAAGATGGGGTATGACCTCCAAGGCTGGGTCATGAAGGACATGGTGGCTGTGTCTTACTATTTCTTGAATCACTCACTCCAGGGAATCCAGCCGCCATGATGTGAGGAGCCTCAAGCAGTGATATGAAGAATCCACACGGCTTTGGCCAACCACAGCACTAACTTTCCAGACATGTAAGTGAGCCACCCTGGAAGCAGATCCTCCAGACCCAGTCCTATTTTCAGACAAAAGAAGCCATAAGCACCATTTGTGTTGCAGTCTCGTGATACCCTGATCCAGAATCACCCAGCTAGAATCCTAAATGGCTCCTGACACACAGAAACTGTGTCAAATGTAAGTATTTTTTAAGACACTAATTTTTCCAATAATTTCTTATGACGCAGCAGGTAACTGATATATGATTTGAGAGGTGGAGCAGGTCCATTTATGTCATCTGAAGAAGAATGGAGAAGATCACTAGAGATAAGCAGGTCAAACAACCAAACAACCAATACACCAGTTGTGGAGCAAATATACAAATAGATGCTGATAGCACCCAGGGTATGGAAGCACTTGGAGTGAAGAGAACAAGAGTCCAACGAGATCCTGTCTTAACTTTAAAAAGTGGATGGCGGTATGGATGTCTCAAATGCAAGCATTTCTAAAGAGCAGGAATTTTTTAAGAAGAGTAATCGTTTAGAACCTGAATGGTGACCCAGTGAAGGGGCCAATGGCCCACTTCCGACCCTCAGGTGCACACAGAAGTGGGATGGGGGGTAAACATCAGAGAGCATGAGGAGCCGTACCACTGTCCAGGCACTCATCTCATCCTTCATCAATTCAACCTTGTTGCAGTGACTTCAGAGCCTTGGCCCAGAGTCTTTTCTAAGGAGAATAACTATTGTTTCTCGGATTCTCATATTGTTTAAGCAAACACAGTTTGCTACACTGCTTCCAATGTACAAAAAAGGTCACATTTCTTTATCTTTTTAAAATTAAATTATACCTAGCTTTGAGGTCTCTTCAGACCACAAGTCACCTTTTTCTTTTCTTTCTTCATTTTCC